AATAAGGTACAAATATCTTCTACCCTGAAAAACCAATTCTGTTTCTCTTGCCACAGGATGATGGAAACAACCTAAGACATGTAGAATATTAGAGTGAGCTGTGGGACAGACCTAGATTTGATTAGGTGACTGACTTTCAACTGAGGTATGAAAATGGTACCAGCCAAAATAGGGAGAGCTTCTGTGGAGCTCATAGGAATGTAAGAGCCAAGTCCAGCTGAGCCAACAGTGCAGAGAGGACCTGAATTCAGCCCTCATACTGGAGCCTCCATCCCACAAGTTCAGTTTGATCTACCTAGTTTACAGCTGGCCTGAGGCCTATGAACAAGAAATCAAGCTCAATAATTTTGGGGTGGTTGTCATACAGCATTATTGCAGCAGTAGTTGACTAATACTAGCTGGCGCTTAAAAAGTGACACAAAAGAGATACAAAAGACAAAAGGTGGAGAGGACATTGGCTCCTCTTCCTTCCATGCCTAGAATGCCATAATCTGCCATTCTGCTCATTGCCAAGGGAAGGAATTAATCTATAACAATAATGATTATTTTAATGCACTGATGTTCTTTCTTTCTAGTTTGCTTTGTCTGTATCTTCCTTTCTTTGTTCATTCTTATCTAGTTTCTTTCACTGTTGGGCCCTTACATTCAGACGGGTATGAGGAATACAAAACAAAATCCATCTTTTGGTTTAAATGGGGAACTAAACTGTAAACAGGTAACTGATCCACATGCAAGATGCCCTGTAATTAAGTTGTATACAGAAGGAAGGAAAAATGGGAGAGGTTAGCTCTCTGTATTGCTGCAGATGGTCATGGAACACTTGGGAGAGGCCCTTTGCAAGGACCAATTTGTTCCTTCTTTCCAGCTTTTTGGAGTTTAAAACTTCACATCTGTGATCACACCCTAGTTTCTACTCTGCATTCTTTACACACTTTATTTCTTCCGCTGGAAATCTTCTCTTCCTCTTTACCATGCCACCAACTGTGGGTCCTTTCTCAAGGAGGCCTTCTCTACATCCAAGAGTAGGCTGGATTCCCTTCCTAGATGCATTTATAGCACTTGATGTGTTTCTTACTATAATATGTGTCATATTTGAATTACTAGTAAGGTGTTTTCTCTGCTAGCCAACTAGTCCAAACCAATGCTGTCTGGTTTACTGCCTTATCTCCAGTAACTGGCTTAGTTTAGTGAATGGGATGGAACTGAATTACTAAAGATCTCTTATGGGTATGAGATACTAGGCATGGAAGTAGAAAGAGGATTTGCAGAAAGTGCATCAATTCACTTTCTGTCTCCTTGAACAAGATACCCAAGTTGCTACCCCAAGTTGATCCCTGAACTTGGAAAAAAAGAAAACAAGAGAAATTCAATTTGGGTCTCCAAGGAGCTTAGCAGTACTCTGCATTGTTGAGAACTCTCTGATAGCTAGAAAATTTCCACTCCTGAGCAGCTGGCCTTGCTCATGGCTCATGACGCAGGCAGTGTTTGGCGATAACATTTCCTGGCATTGACGTGTATCTGCTACGTGTATGGCTCAGGGACCTTGTCTTATTCACAGGAGTACGACCCCCAGTAGGGCAGCATGGCCTGCAAATCCCATTAATCCTGGCTTGCAAGGTGGTGGGCGGTGGTGCAGAAGGCTGTGTGCTCTCCCCATGCCGTGCCTGGCCTGGGGCCCTGCCTCCTCTGCTGCTGTCCTTTTGTCTTGTTATTGAGAGGTGGCTGCTGTTCTCTGTTCTAGGTGATGAAATAATTCAGTTCCTTCTCTTTGTTTGCTGCAAAAAATAAAAATAGGAAAATTTTACCTGCTAGAAGCAGATGTCCTGCAATATCTATCCAATAATTTGAAAAGACTGCTCATAATAAAAAGGAATATTTTGTACACACAAATTCATCTCCATATCCTCGATGAGTTTTCAGTCATCATGGCTATGGGGCCATGTAGACTCATGCATAATGAGTCACATGATGGCGGGGTTTTCTTAAAACCAACTTGCCATCATGTGATAAAAAGCAGTAGTTTACTAATACAACAGAGTGGGCAAACACTGCCTGCTTTTGTATAAGCCCTCAAATTAAGAATAGTTTTTACATTTTTAAATGGTTACCAAAAAAAAAAAAAAATCAAAGAATGATATTTTTAGGAAGGGAAAATTAGATAAATTGAAATTAGAGTGTCCATTAATAAAGTTTTATTGGAACACAGTCATGATCATTTGTTGAGGGAGTGGTTAGGGACACTTTCCTGCTATAAGAGCAGAGTTGAATAGTGTGACAAAGACTCGGCATGGTTGGCAACCTAAAATATTTACTGTCTTGCCTTTTGCTGACCCCTGTAATGGAGGGATATGGATTTTTTGAATTGACTCATTCTGAATATATCAGAGACTTGCTCAAGCGCCCATTTTGTGTTTCCAGTAGACTGAACTTCTGTTCACCCTCTGAGGAAAGATGTGCCACCAGAGATGGCTCTGTTTGGTACCCTTTTCTACCTACCTTCATGTTATGGGGATGGGTGTGATAATTGTAACCTAGAGAACAGAACTGAGCAAGCGGGAGCTACATTAAGATTCAGCTGAGAAGACAGAACTCTCTGCAGTCTGCTGCCTACATATCTAGTGAGGCCTTCTAGGGTCTTGGTCACTCAAGAAAAATCAAGGAGTTCTCTTTTTCCTTCTCTAAAGGTATTCACACCTGTGGGAGAAATTATTAAGCAAAGACACTTGTCTGCATTATCTCAGTGACCCTTAGTAGGTCTTGTTGTCTGCCTCTGGTTGCCTGAGCCCTGTTCTTTCCTTTGCAGTAGTATATCCATGCCCAAAATTATGATTGTTTACTTTATCTTCTAGACTGTGAGTTCCTAAAAGGCAGGGTTTTTTAATTTCCATGTGTTTTGAGCATCTGGAAAGGGCAAGGCACTTGGTAGATTCATGACAATAGCCAGGGAATCAACAAAGTCTGTCATGCTTCTCACACAGAGTTACAAGTCTGGAGAGCCCATGGTTATGTGATGGCAAGTACCTGCATCCACATATTAGCTTAGCATAACTTTCTGGGTATTAGTCGTACTTGCAGATTTGTAGTAGAAATCATGATTTTTGTATTTAAACAAGCATGGCTAGATTACAGAGTAAAAACTCAGAATGTTTAAAGATGGAGCACAGACTTCAAAGAAGTTGACCTGCTTGGTGATCATTTGGGGGGTCTGTCTCAGGTCTCTGGAGTGAGGAGAGGGGATCAGGGATAAATTCATTCTCTCCTGCAGTTAGAAATCTTTGAGGTGAAATTGTCAGAGAAGGACTAAAGTAACTATGTTTCTGTAAGTCCTTAATGTGGCATTATTATTATTTTTTAAAAAGATTTTATTTTTAAATAATCTCTACACTCAACATGGGGCTCAAACCATGGCCCCGGGATGAAGAGTCACCTACTCCACTGACTCAGCCTGCTAGGTGCCCCTGAACGTGACATTATTAATAATGGGAGGCAGGAAGGTGGAAGAGGGAGGCCCTTGAAAGGACATGGCCAGTTCTGCCAGTATTTACAGATGCATTGTATCTTTTGTCAGAGATCTTCAGACAGCAGTGGACCTTTAGCCCAAGAGATTCTTTAAGAATCTGCTAAAACCTATAGACTCTATGAACTTGCACCATCTACCAACTTGGCTGTAATAGATTTCAACTTCAGCTTAATGGTTATTGTGTCCTTATTGCTGCTAGGGAGGGGGTTGAATTTTACCAGTCTGGAATTATTCCCTGGGAATGTGACTAAGGCCTTGGTTATATGGGGAAGGGTGAACAGGGAGTTACTGTTTAGTGGGGCATATGGTCTGAATTGGTATCTAGATGACATTTTCCTCTATTCCTTCTGCTTTTCAGTGACTTTTCCAGTGGGTCACTCCTAACCTGTCCCTCACAGGCAGTCTTTTAGTCCTGTCTTTTCTTCTCTGTGTCTATGCCAATCCTTTTGTTCCTTTTAGAGTCTATTTGCTCCTCCTCAGATGCACTGGGCCACCAGAATCTGGATGGAGCCAGCTACAGTACATCCCCACTTCTCTGTTAGCTTGGGGTGGGGGGCATTGGGGACCATGTAACATACACAAAGCTTTTTCACACAATTCCACCATGCCCATGGATCTCAGATTAATAGCCCCTGACCAAGTCTGAGTCTAAAACAGGTCTCTTATTTTCAGAGGGAACAGGGGTAAGGAAGAGGGAATGAGGTGAACCAGGAGATTCTTCCTGTTGTCTGAATTGCTGGGGAAGAGAAAGGTGGGGAGAGAGGTAAGTGGGCCCCAGTGTATAGAGCCTCACTGACAGCAGGCAGCAGCTAGCATCCAATCATAGCCACATGCCTGCTGTACTGTATAATTCTGTAGCTCTTTTGGCAGTGCTTACAGGCATGCTCTCTCTGAGTGCTATTGATTTCTTGGGGAAAGGAGATCAAAAACAAGTGTTATACTTCGTGTCGTGTGTTTTCTGGGGGAAGTAAATAGATTAGCCAAATTGGACAGACAAGATCAGGGCAAGGAGAGAAGAGGCTCCCTGGAACTGCCTTCCCTGAAATGGAATCTCTTAAAATGATCCACAGGGGAAATAAAATGATTAGGCAGGGCAGGAATTTATCCTGTACTCAGATTGAATGTCGCATTTTGTTTCTGTCTCAGCTTCATGTCCTTCAAATCAACCTGCTTTCCATCGCATTGCTGTTTGATGCCAGCAGCTCCGCTCGCCTTTATCTTGACCATGTCCGTCCCCCATGATGCCGGGGCTAACTGTCACTAAGTTTCTGGATACTGCTGTATAATAGCACCATCTGATAAAACTTTTTGTGATGATGTGAATGTTTAAATAACTCTCTGCCATTAAATACAGTAGCCCACTGGCCTCGTGGACCTTTTCAGCACTTGAAAGGTGGCCAGTATGACTGTGAGACTGAATATTTAATTATAGTTAATTTAAATGTAGCTTTGTAGCCTTCTTTTTTTTTTTAAGAACGCTTTTCCATTTTGTTTGTTTTTGTGGAAGAGCAGCTTAAGACCACTCAGTAGTTGTTCCTACCCATTCAGTGGCCTGAGCAGTGACGGCATACTCCAGTCTTCAGCAGGGAAGCTACCAGCATGCCTTCAGTCCAGTCTGTGACTTCAGGTAGAGTAGCAGTGAACTCAGGAGCTGGAGCTGGAGCAGTCTACTCACCCTGAAATTCCTCCTTGGTCAGGGCCTAGTCACAGCAGCCTGCTCTTCCTTTTTGATCTCCTCAGGATTTCTGTGGAAATAGAAATCAGGCTTGACCTCCCATGGGTCTCCATGGGAAATGGTGCCACACATGTGCAGAACTTCCTAGGCCAACATCCACCATATCAGACCCACCGAGTGAGCTCCTTTGTTGTTGCAAGAGATGGTGATGTCCACAGAGCTCAGAGGAGAGTCCTCATTAACACAGAGCAGTGGTAGGCAGGTTAACCTGTCTCCGTGAGAAGCTGGTGGTCAGCCCTCGTATCAGTAACCACCAGAAGTCTCGGCTCTCAGAAGGCTGCCTGGATCTGGTTAGTGAAGTTTCTAAGAGTGAAGAGGCCAGCAATAGGAATGACTCCAGTAGCAGTAGCAAACTTCAGTACAGCTCGCTGGCCAGTATTCCCAGATGGTATGACATTGACATCAGCTGGGTTTGTAATGGCAACAAAGGCATGAGCTGTCAGAAGAAGCTTCTGCAAGGTTCTTTTCAGATTTATGATGTAGATACCATCCCTTTTCCTTTTGCAGATGTACTGTTCCATTTGGAAGTCAAGGTTGGTGCCACCTAAGTGGGTTACTGCTGCAAGGAATTTGAAGACCATACTCTTCCTTCATTTGCAGGACATCAAGGGCTCTGAATATTGTGAAAGTTTCCTTTGAGTTACAATGGGAATACAAACAACACCATATGGACTCCTTCCTGGGTAGTGCGGAAAGGCCATATGTAGCTATTTGCTATGTTCTCGTGCATTGAAGTTTTTGATTCTTGCAGTCCCAGAAGTGTGAACCAGCAGCATCCACATCACCTGGGATTGGGAGATTGTTTTAGAAATGTGGTATCTTGGGCCTCACTCCAGATCTACTGAACGAGAATCTACATTTTAACAATATCTCCAGATATTATATGTATATTAAAGTTTGAGAAGCAGGGCTGGAAACGAGTAAGTCTCAGGAAGAGATGTGGTATCAATTAGAGTCAGCTGAGTTATGCTGCAGTAACAAACAAGCCCCAAGTCCAGGGGCTTAAAATAAACAAATTTTATTTCTCACTAATGCTTCTTGTCCCTGGTAAACCAGAGGGGGCTCTGTTCCACATCATTCTTACTCCAGGTTCCAGGCTAATTGGCCAGTGCTCTCTGGATCATTTGTCATTGGTGTTACGTAAGGGAGAACAGATAGTGTGGTGAAACCTATAATTTCTACTCATATTTCATTGGCCAAAGCATGTCATGTGACTGCACTTAACTCAAAGGGGACAAGGAAGAGAAAGCTTATCAAATGCCCAGAAGGGAGAGAAACAAAATATTTGGTGAACATACATGGTGAACAGCGCTCATGACTGCTGCACATAAGCATAATTATAGCCTTTTGTTTGTTTGTTTTTAAGCAGCCAGTTCTGAAGATCATCATTTCAATCCTGGACTTTCCATAGCTTTCTAATTGATCTCTCTGTTGTCCTTTCTTTTTTTAAATCACTACCGTATTAATCCTCTTAAGGCATTGTTCTGAATATTTAATTTCTCTGCTCAGAACCCTTCAATGACACCTCATTGTCCACCAAGTTAAGTAAACTCCTTTTAGCATGATGTAGTGGAAAGAATGCTACTAATTTATGTGTGACCTTGGACAGTGTTGCCTAAATTCTCTGAATCACAGTGTTCTCATCATTTAATTCGGAGATAAAAGTACCCACTGTCAAAGGCTGCTATGAATCTTAAGTAAAATAATGTGTATAGAGTGCATAGTGTATTAGACATTTAATAAATAAGAACATAATCCCGTCATGAGCTCCTAGAGCACACCATGTATATCTGTATCATAATATTTATCCAAAACATATTGAGATGACCTATTGCATGTCTGTTTCTCCTAGTAGACTTGAATTCCTTAAGGAATCTGACTTTACAATTAGTGAGCTAGCATAAGGCTCTACATGTAGAAGATTCTTATTAAATGTTCTAACTGCACATAATTTGATAGTGATTTTGAGCTCTCCCTAGCAAGGTTGCCTTATGTGTATAGCCAGTGTTATGACCAAGCTATATCACTTGCTGTTCCCTAAACTAACAGCATGTTTCTCATCTCTGGACCTTTGCTCATGTTTCTGATATGTACTTTTTCCTTCCTGTACCTTAGCCTTGCAAAAGTTTGCTCATCACTTAATCCCCAATTAAAATGTCACCTCTACAACGATTATTTTTCTAATTCCTGAACCTGAAAGCAACATTCCCATTCTTTGAACATTCACAGTATTCAGAGAAGATTTCACACCAAAGTCTGCGATCTGGGATTCCTCTGGGAAAGTAATGACCAAGGGATTTATACTAGAAAGGCAACGTGGAGAGAAGGAGATAGGCAGCACATTCCAGATTGATCAGGGTGAGCCTCTACATCTGCAGATGTAGAGTGGTGCAGTGCAGGGAGGATGGAGAAAGAAGACAGAGACAGGACTAGAGAGAGGTTTCTGGCCTTGCAGACCATGGTTACAAAGTTTGAATTTTATCCTCAGACAATGGAGATGAGCAGGGAGGTGACATGATTGCTTTTGTGACCTAGAAAAACCAGTTTTTTGAGAATGAGAGTATTATATTTAATAATTGATATTTAATAGAGATATTTGATATTTAATAATTGATCTCCAATTTTCTGTGTTAGGTCAGTTAGCATTGTCTGTTTTCTGATCATGACTTGGTCCTCCCAATGACTTTCCTTTTCTTTTTTTTTAATTTTACAGCTTTTATTTATTTATTTTACAGACAGAGATCACAAGTAGGCAGAGAGGTAGGCAGAGAGTCAGGCAGAGAGAGAGAAAGGGAAGCAGGCTCCCCATTGAGCAGAGAGCCTGATGTAGGGCTCTCTCCCAGGATCCTGGGATCATGACCTGAGCTGAAGGCAGAGGCTTTAACCCACTGAGCCACCCAGGCGCCCTGCCTTTCCTTTTCTTATGTCACTTATTTATTCCTGTTAACTACCTAGCCCCTGAAGGTGTTTGCATTTTCAGCCCCTGTCTTATGTCTGCACTCCAAGTAAGTATCCTCTGATACCTTCAATCATCTATCAATTAGGAATTGCATTTGGCTGTTTATAACAAGGACCCATCTCTCAACAGTGGCTTCAGTAAGATAGAGACTTATTTCTCTCTCATGTAAAAGAAGTTTGCAGATAGCTTGTACAGTTTTTTCCTACTTATTTCCTCTGCCATCCTTGACCCTATGGCTTCCATTCCCAAGATTACATGGTATACAATGGCTGTTGGAGCTCCTACCATCACATCCTCATTTCAGGCGGTAGGAAGAAAGAAGTGGGAAAGACTGCATTATTTCTCAGAGTTCTGTGTAATGCATCTGCTTATAATCATTGGCAGACATTTAGTCACAGGGCTACCAAGGCATGGGCAATGTAGACTTTTATTCTGAGAGGCTGTGTGCCTGGCTAAAAAAAATTGTGTGTGGGGTTTTTGTTTTATTTTGTTCTTTCAGAGAAGAGACTTGTGAGAGTAGGTAAATAGCAGCTTCTGCTATGGTATGTGACTCCAACCTTCATTATAATACATCTGTTTTTTCTTTTTGGAAGACTTTGTGCTTCCATTAGTACATATGTGCCAAAGTTCCATCCTACCAAGTCCTACTAATATCTATCTGTCTTCTGGTATTTAAATGTCCATTTTGTTTATGTATTATTTACATTCTCTGCCTCATTACACATCTACTTGTCCTGAATCTGACAATTCTTGGTCAAATTCCCTCCTTAACCATCAGTTCTCCATCTCAACAAGAGACAAACCAGGAGGTACTGCACAGCCTGAGGGCAGAAGCCCCAGATGTCTTTGAAGAGACACACCTCAGTCAATAACCATCTAGATGAGGAATATATTATTTTCTTTGCCCAAATTTACTTGTTCCTAAAGTGCCCCTATTTGAATTCTTTGTTGTCAACTTTGCATCCCTATGGCCCCTCTCTAAGGTTTTCTCCACATTACAGAAGAGAAATCAGGAAGTATACTTATCCCTGTCCCCTTCTCCATATTGTTCCAGTCTTGAATTTGCTAATAAGAAGAATTTACATAAGATTTGCAAGAGAAGAGTGGGAGAAGCTAGTGTTCTCTGGAGGCCATTGCAAACTCAAAGTTGCTTCCTTTGGAGTTTTGTGCCCTAAACTCTTTGATGTTTCAAGCTGAGCGCAAGATGCTGACCAAGCTGGCTTTGATTTCACAGGCACCTCCCCTTATCTCTGTTCCCTTAGCTCTTCCAATGACTGTAGAAGATCCTAATTCCTATATTAACTGCTTCATAATGGAGTAATAGGGTGGCTTCTCTTTTCCCAAATGAAGCCTGACTGATATAACCCTTTCACCTGAGTTATTTGGTTGCCAAAATTTTGGAGGCTCTTTTCCTAGACTGCTATCTATATGGCCAAGCAGGTATATTATTTTACATTGTAGACATTCTTTGAGATTACATTATGAATATTAAAATATATAGTACAATCACATCTTCTATAATTTTTTAAAAAGACTTCATTTATTTGAGAGATGGAGAGAGAGCACAAGTAGGCAGAGCAGCAGGCAGAGGGAGAGGGAGAAGCAGGCTCTCTGCTGAGCAGGAAGTCTGATGCGGGGTTTGATCCCAAGATCCTGGGATCATGACATGAGCTGAAGGTAGACACTTAATGAATGAGCCATGCAGGCCCCCCATTATGTATTACATTTATATTATGTTTTATAGTGTATTGTAAATGTATTTCTCTTCATCTCCTTGAAGGATTGATTTCCCGGAGTACCAGTGACTACCTTATACCTCTCACTTTAATTATGTTATGACAGGAAAGTGTCTCACTGTGCTCGGTGCAAATGCCTTAGAAGCCAGTGCAGGGTGAGGTGGGAGTAGGGGTGGTGACAGAATCAGAAAGTGAAGTGGAAGAGCTCCCAGCTTGTGGGACTCCAATCTGAGTTCCCAGCCCTACACTCTTACTTCATCTGTAGAGCTCCACTTCCATTAGTTGACATATAAATGATCCACTCAGGATTTCATTTGACTGGAAGTGTTTCACAGCTTAAAAAAAAGATTGAAAGCTGCTCCTTTAAAACCCTAAATTTGAGATGTGCCTGAGAAGTCTCAACTCTTCAACTTATTAGCCATGTGATCTTGGGCATGTCATGAAAACTGAATTCGGCTTCCTTGGGAGTATAATACAATGGCAAAGCATTACTGAAAAGATGGAAAGAAATAATGCCCATAAATTTGAAGGGCGGTACCAGTCAGGGTTATACTCTGAAGTACTTAGGGCCAAGTGAGTGACAGAAATGAATGAAATAGGCCATCGTGAATGGGAAGGGGCATGTCCCAATGAAAAGGGGCATACTTAGATTACTATACTTGTTAACATTTGGGGGATGTGGTCAGAGCTTTCGCATTTTCAAGAAAACCTGGAAATAAGGATTTTTGAAGAGGAATCTCAGGATTTTGAAAAAGGTTGGTAATAATTTCACTTTTGAAAGCTAATCAAAACATATGTTCATTTGTGAGCCTCCTTGTATGACCTTTAATTATGTAATTTATGTATTACCATTTATTGGTATTACCAATTATTATTGTTATTGTTATTGTTATTATTTCAAAGATTTCATTTATTTATTTATTTGCCAGAGATAGCAAAAGAGGGAATATAAGCAGGGAGAGTGGGGAGGGAGAAGCAGGGTTCCCACTAAGCAAGGAGTCCTGGGACTTAATCCCAGGACTCTGGGATCATGATCTGAACCGAAGGCAGTCGTATAACCAACTGAGCCACCCAGACACCCCCCGATTATTATTTTTAATGGGCTTTGGAGCTATTGTTTTTAGCTTTTCCTGTGAGCTTGCCTACCTCCTTACTTTCTGTAACATACCTTCTCCCTTGACTCAGATCTGACTGATGATAGTTTTCCATCGAAGGGGTTGATACTGGAGCTAGGTAGGCCTAATTAGGTTATTTCTAGGGATCAGTATTTGGATGCTAGGAAAATTAGTCTATCCTTCCTTACTTGTCTTGCTCAACTCCTCTTTGTAGGCATAGAGATGCCAATGACCATGTTCCTTGGTCACTTGGTAAAAATCCAGTTGTGGGAGAGAATGAGGTCAAAAAACTGAGATAAGTGGAGAGAAAAGAGACTAAGAGAGTCCTGGCAGCACTGAGTTAGTGAGTCCTTCAGTTTTTTAAATTAAATTCTTCATCATTTTAATATTTACAATTGATAAAAATAAGATTTTTCTTCTTTTTTAATTTTTTTATTAAGAAATTTTTTTATATTAACATATAATGTATTATTTGCCCCAGGGGTACAGGTCTATGAATCATCAGGCTTACACATTTCATAGCACTCACTGTAGCACATACCCTCCCCAATGTCTATGACCCAGCAACCCTATCCCTAGCCCCCTCTTCTGCCCAGCAACCCTCTGTTTGTTTCATGGGATTAAGAGTCTCTTATGATTTGTCTCCCTCCTGATCCCATCTTGTTTCATTTTTCCCATCCCTCCCCCCATGACCCCTGGCCCTCCCTCTCAAATTCTTCATATCAGAGAGATCATTTGATAATTGTCTTTTTCTGATTGACTTATTTTGCTTAGCATAATACCCTCTAGTTCCAACCACTTCTCTCCCAGTCTTCTCCCATTCTGTCAGTTGTCTTTTCGTTTTGTGGACTGTTTCCTTTGCTGTGCAAAAGTTTTGAACTTGGTGAAGTCCCAGTAGTTCATTTCTGCCCTTGCTTCCCTTGCCTCTGGTAATGTTTCTAGGAAGAAGTTGCTGTGGCTGAGGTTGAAGAGGTTGCTGCCTGTGTTCTCTTCAAGAATTTTGATGGATTCCTGTCTCACCCTGAGGTCTTTCATCCATTCTATTTTTGTGTGTGCTGTAAGAAAATGGTCCAGTTTTATTCTTTTGCATGTGGCAGTCCAATTTTCTCAACACCATTTTTGAAGAGACCGTCTTTTATCCATTGGACATTCATTCCTGCTTTGTCAAAGATTAGCTGACCATAGAGTAGAGAGTCCATTTCTGGGCTCTCTATTCTGTTCCATTGATCTATGTGTCTGTTTTTGTGCCAGTACCATACTGTCTTGATGATGACAGCTTTGTAATAGAGCTTGAAGTCTCAAATTGTGATGCCACCTACTTTGGCTTTCTTTTACAACATTCTTCTGGCTATTCGGGGTCTTCTCTGGTTCCATATAAATTTTAGGATTATTTGTTCCATTTCTTTGAAAAAAATGGATGGTATTTTGAAGGGGATTGCATTAAAGGTGTACATTGCTTTAGGTGGCATAGACTTTTTCACAATATTTGTTCTTCCAGTCCATGAGCATGGAACATTTTTCCATTTTTTGGTGTCTTCCTCAATTTCTTTCATGAGTACTTTATAGTTTTCTAAGTACAGATTCTTTGCCTCTTTGGTTAGGTTTATTCCTAGGTATCTTACAGTTTTGGGTGCAATTATAAATGGGATTGACTCCTTAATTTCTCTTTCTTCTGTCTTGCTGTTGGTGTATAGAAATGCAACTGACTTCTGTGCATTGATTCTGTGTCCTGACACTTTACTGAATTCCTGGAATTCTATTCTGGAGAATGTTCCATGTGCACTAGAGAAGAATCTGTGTTCTGTTGCTTTGGGATGGAATTTTCTGAATATATCTGTGATGTCCATCTGGTCCAGTGTGTCATTTAAAGCTTTTGTTTCCTTGTTGATCTTTTGCCTAGATGATCTGTCCACATCAATGGGGGGGGGGAGGTTAAAGTCCCCTACTATTATTGTATTATTGTCAATGTGCTTCTTTGACTTTGTTATTAATTGGTTTATATAATTGGCTAGGTGCATAAATATTTAAAATTGTTAGATCTTCCTTTAAGTATGATATAGCATCCTTCCTCATCTCTTATGATAGTCTTCAGCTTAAAATCTAATTTATCTGATATAAGGATTGCCAACCCCAACTTTCTTTTGATGTCCATTAGCATGGTAAATTGTTTTCCACCCCCTCACTTTAAATCTGGAGGTGTCTTTGGGTCTAAAATGAGTTTCTCCTAGACAGCAGATCAATGGGTTTTGTTTTTCTATCCATTCTGACACCCTGTGTCTTTTGATTGGGGCATTTAGCCCATTTACATTCAGGGTAGCTATTGAAAGGTATGAATTTAGTGCCACTGTATTGCCTGTAAGGTGAATGTTACTATATATCGTCTCTATTCCTTTCTGTTCTGTTACTTTTAAGATCTCTCTTTGCTTAGAAGACCCCTTTCAATATTTCTTGTAGGGTTGCTTTGGTGTTTACAAATGCTTTTAGTTTTTATTTGTCCTGGAAGCTTTTTATCTCTCCTTCTATTTTCAGTGATAGCCTAGTTGCATATAGTATTCTTGGCTGCATGTTTTTCTCATTTAGTGCTCTGAATATATCATGCCAGTCCTTTCTGTCCTGCCAGGTCTCTGTAGACCTAATATTTCTAACGTTATGTTACAGACCTCTAGTCCTGAGTTGCTCTCAGGATTTTCTCTTTGTCACTGAGACTTGTAACTTTTACTATTAGATGATGGGGTATGGACCTATTTTTATTGATTTTGAAGGGGGTTCTCTGTGCCTGTAGGAGTTTGATGCTTGTTCCTTTTGCCATATTAGGGAAATTCTCTGCTATAATTTGCTCCAATATACCTTCTGCCCCTCTCTCTCTTTCTTCTTCTTCTGGGACTCCAATTATTCTAATATTGTTTCATCTTACAGTGTTACTTATCTCTCGAATTCTGCCCTCATGGTCTAGTAGTTGTTTGTCCCTCTTTTTGCTCAGCTTCTTTATTCTCCATCATTTGGTCTTTTATATCACTAACTCCGTCTTCTGCCTCATTTATCCTAGCAGTAAGTGCCTCCATTTTTGATTGCACCTCATTAGTTGCTTTTTTTATTTCAACTTGGTTAGATTTTAGTTCTTTTATTTCTCCAGAAAGGGATTTTATTTCTCCAGAAAGGGATTCTCTAATATCTTCCACGCTTTTTTGGAGCCCAGCTAGCAACTTGATAATCATCATTCTGAACTCTAGTTCTGACATATTACTAATGTCCACATTGATTAGGTCCCTAACTGTCAGTACTGCCTATTGTTCTTTTTTTGGTGGTGTGTTTTTCCACCATGTCATTTTATCCAGATAAGAATAGGTGAATGAGAGACCAAAGTACTAAAGGGGTGGCCAGGACCCCCGAAAAATACACACTAACCAAATCAGAAGAGACCCAAAACTCTAGGGAGAAGAAATGGGGAAGAAAAGGAAAAAAAATAATATTATATATTATATAATATGTAATATAATATAATAATATGCTATGTAATTATATATCACATAATATATAAATATTATAATACATAATATAATATTTATATGTAAATATTATAATACATAATATAATATATATTTTTTCCCTTTTCTTCCCCATTTCTGCCCCACCAGTTTAATATATAAAATCAAATATATATATATATGTGTGTGTGTGTGTGTGTGTGTGTATCTATCTATCTATCTATCTATATATATAAATGACTGGGAACTAGAACAGAGGCACATACTTGATTTTGGATGTATTTTGGTCTGTTAAAAGAAACTAAACCTGCCAAAATTTTAAAGATAGAAAAACTTTTATATATACAAAAATAAGGGGAAACATGATGAAGGGATGAAATATGACTATAAAGATGAATATTTAAAAAGATTCTAAAAAAAGGAATTAATAAGAAGTGGGTTGTAAAAAGAAAAGAAAAAAAAAGAGGAAAGAAAGTGAGCAGGCTGGAGACTAGAACAAAGCTGTGCACTAAATTAAGGTATATTTTGATCTATTAGAGGAAATTGTATCCCAAAGTTTTAAAGAA